CTTCCTGGGGAGGAGGAGAAAGAGGAAGGGGTGGTCTTGCTGTCTCAGGGGCGGTCGCGGTGGAAGAAAATCTGTGTGTGAGTGGACCTGCACGGCTCAAAGCTGTGCTGCTCAAGGGTCACGTATACTTGTTTCATCTCCCACCTCAGTCCTACATTCCTATAAGCTGAAGCCATCAGTAGAGAGTCACAGTTAGATTTCTAACCCTGATCGGGACAGGGCTCTCTCACGCTTGCAGCAGGGATGGCACGGGGAAGAGACATAACCTCGTTGGGGCTGTAGGTGTGGGGAAGCAGGGAGGCCCATAGAGGGACAGGGACACTGACATCAAGTTGGTGACCTTCGGAGCATGTGGTGCAAACTCGGAGGCCGAGAAACAGGAAGCAATCTTGGCCCAGGCTAACGGTGACCTTTAGGGTTTGCCACCTGGAATCAGGAACAATGGGGTGTTGCAACCAAGACCGTGAGGCCAAGCAGAAAAGGCCGCCTGTGGTTGCAGCAGGTGAAATTTAATGGCTGCCAAGGAGAGCTCAAAAAACATTGGGAGACCACGCCAGCAAGAGTGGGAGGACTAGGCCCGAGATTCCGCGGGCCTTCTGCCCCAGGCACAGAGCCAATGACTGTCATTATCATGGCCCTAAACGCCTCCAGTAGCCTTTCTGGGAGAAGCTGAGGTAGCACAGATTACTCCTACTCCTTAGGAGAGAGATGTCCCTGTTCCTTATTCTGGAATTGCAAGTGAGCTGCCACTTGTGTGTCCCAAGAATGTAGAATACCAAACCGACTGGGAAAAGTGTCTTCTATGTTAGGAGATAAACTCCTTCCCTATGATTTTGTTATCCTTATGACAGTTGGAGTTTAAACATTTCTAGTCTCTGGATAAGGAGAATCTTTTCTCTCCTGTCAAGGAAATTTATTTCAAACCTGGTGTTTTATGACATCAAAGATGTAGTCATGGTTTGTAGTTTGTTTTCTGGAATATTAGTTCCTACTGTGGATAGCTACATGGTATCTGAATTGTGTAATTATTCTAACGGTTCTTAAAAGTTTAAGTTTGTTGCCATATGAACATTGCTGTTGTGTACTGCTGTTTTGGGGACAGTAGATACCAGTGTCTTTTCGGAACACCACAGAGACACGTTGGACTTATTATTACTATTATTATTATTTATCTTCACTGCCTCCTTTAGCAAGGAACCAGGATTACATGTTGGTATTTAGACTGACCCCCCTGTTCCTCTAATGAGAAATATGAAGCATATTGTGCTTTTATACCAGCAGGCCTAAAAAACTGACATTGTTCTTTTCCTTATTTACTTATGCATATGTTTATTTATTTTTCGGTGGTGGTCTTTGAACTGTATCTGGCATTCTGAGTAAAGCTTTCCCTGTTGCAGAATCGTGAAGAGAGGCCCATATTATCACTGTATGAATATCAGATATTCATTCGCAAAACAAAACAACAACACAGCCACATTAGAGATCGTGCATTTAGACCAGTGCCACTCCAACAGGCTTCTCTGGGAAGGCCTCAGCCTGGCCTTGTCTTCAGAGTTTGCTCTTAGGGAAGGTGCTTATATATTTTCTTCCACTGCTATTGACAGATTCTTTAGTGGTCGAACATGGTTCTTGTCCTCATTTAAACTATAATTAAGGTCCCAAATGAGACCACCTCTTGTGGACTTCTGCCCCAGGGAGGCAGGAAGAAAGAGGTCCTCTTTATGTCAGTGAATGTTGGCTCTGCATGAGCTAGCTTCATCTTGGGCCCTTCATCCTCAGTCCTTTCTTTGTCTTCAGCCAGTGGAGAACAAGTCAGACGTGGGCCTGCCCTGACTGAGCCACAAGCCTCAAATCAGCAGAGAAGTCCCTCTCTCGCAAGCCACAGATGTCTAGACCCTGAGACTCTGTGGCTGTGATTGTGAAGGAGTACCTCCTGCCCCCAAAGAACAGCCCTTTACACATTGCGTCGACGTTGTAACACTTCTTCCTTCCCTGTTCAGTCCTCTTTTGAGTTGTGCTACGTAGCCAGACTTTTATCAAGTTGCAAGCAAGTATTTGTTGTGCACTCATGCTAGGGGCTGGTTCTTCAAGATGGATATTAGGAGATATATTGTCGTAAATGCAAATGTATCTTGAGAACACATAATGGAAATTAGTAGTGTCTTGGAGACTCTGGGTTTGGTGATGGCTACAACTATGGGACATGGGAAAGCAGTTTAAGTCCATTCTTATCTTGAGGTTGTTTTGGGACTTTATGAAACTCATAGAGAGATCTGGAAACAACCTAAATTGTGGATCACAGGTTCAAAGCATCTGTGTTTTCCTCCCATCTGCTCTCAGTTTTTAGGGTTCTGGCAATCTGGGCCACCTTGAGCTGCTGAAACAGCGCTGACAGAAAGGCAGAAAAGGTAGCAGTCACTCCCGTTCTCCAGGGACTCAAAGGCCTCTGCTAAGGGGCGGCACAGCAAGGTCTCTGCCAAGACCCTTGGCTTTCTTGCATGACTTGTTCACTGATGTTTCAAGGCTGGGCGTTACCCAACTGGAGCCCTGAGAATGCTTGCGTGGCATCCCTGGAGAAGGAAACTAACTTGAAAAAAACCCCCACAAAGTAAATCACCAGGACTGGATGGTTTTCATCCAAGAGTTGAGGAGGAAATGAAGTGTGAAATAGCACAGATACTGATGAAGACATTAGTTCTCCATTAAAACCACAACTGTGTCAGAGCAGAGGAAGTTTGCTAACATGATGATCTTATTGCTGGAGGAGCAAGATTAGTGGCCTCTCTGACGCCTCTGGAAAACCTGGACCATAAAATATGAGCAGTGACACAATAGCCTTTATTCCCTGAAAGTAGATAAGAGGGTTATTGTGACAATTCCTGCATTCCAGTAGAAACCTTAAAAGAGAATGATAGCGAATATGTAATACATAAGAAAGGAACGCTGTCAGTTTGTCAGGCATGCTGCTGTTCCCGACTCCTGTGTCCATGGCAGACATCACTAATTAACCTAGCACTCTTTTCTCTGAACTGGGATTGAGCCTCATGCTTCTCAATTCATGCTGTCAACTGACATTATCAAATGACAAGAGTTGACATATACATTGAAACTCATTTGTTCTTCATGCCAAAGAGGTGGTATTTTATTTGGACCACAGTGGCTCAATTAAACTGTAAATAATGACAAGAAGCAAGTCTTTCACAGGTAGTTTAGGAGCGTGACAAGAAACATACTGCATTCTTCCTTCTAAGGACTGAGTTAGCAAAACATTTATCTCTAGGGATATATAGTTTTGCGAGAATGGAATTCACATGTGTAATTGCAACTCAAATCCTGGTAGAGTCTTTCTGGAGGGAAGGGAAGTCACATTCTCTGAGGCCACAAGCAGCCTGTTTCCAAAGGTCATTTCGAGAAATGAGAGTAAATGGCAAAATCTCTCATTTCCTTGTGGAGTTAAAAAAACAGCTGTGAACTGTTGAGTCCTTCCACAGCAGTGACTCTGTGGGGTGAAGAAGAAGTGAGGTACGCTTTGAGAGAACTACAGTGATGCCCAGAGGAGGAAAGAGACAGGAATGTCAGGTCCTGGAGGAGCTGAGCAACTTTATGTGAAATCTGAGGTTTCCCTGGGACTAGCTTTTGTTTTACTCTAAAGGAATAGAAGGCCAGTTCTGACACAGGTCTGAGAATCCCATGGAGCCTGTCCACAGAACACTTGGCCGTTAAACCGAGCAAAACCTGCTGTTGCTGATAATAATTAAAGCAGTTTGGTTATTGTAATTATCTTGTAGCCTAGTGACCTCTCTATAAAGGGTATATAATAGAGACAATTTCCTGGAGTGGACTGTAAGCTGACCATTTAAAGATGATATCTGTCTGTCATTAAGGGATGAGCTAATTTTCTTGATCAGTGAAAAGTTGCTACATATTGTAATTAGCAGAGAATCAGAATATAGTAAAATGCATTTAGCATGGCGATTCTTCACTGAATCCTCACCAGGGAGATGACCAGATGCTGTGGATCAGAGACCAGAGGAACACATGGGGCTTACTGGTTAGCAAACCTGGCTGCTAGTCCCTCTTTACCACAAGATAACTTGCAACTTTGCTCACATCTTGCAGAATCATAGGTCATGGAAAGAGACATGATTATTTTGTCTAGCTCTTTGCCTCAGGACTGAGTGATTCCGATCTCCCTTTTAAAGACAAGGCAACAGTTGCTCAGCAAGAACAAGTGCAGCACTCAACGGGGGAGGCATGGACGAGTGAGGGGGTGAATCCAGGCTCCCAGGAAATACATTTTCTTACTTCGCTTTGCTTCTCTGAGTCTCAATTTCCTCATCTTTAATGAGCACGGCTTGGATTGAGCAAGTACAGATTTAGCGCTGTGTTTAGAGCACATTGAGAAACCTCTGTGGGTTAAATGATTAAATGTCATGCTGATAACTTACATCTCTGAGGCACTTTATAGTTTACAAAGCGCTTTCATCTGCATCATTTTGCTCTGCTGGTGGCTTCTTGAGTTGGGGAAGCAGTGGGATCTCTTATTCACTTTTCGCAGATGTGTCACCTGAAACTCTACAGGGCTAAATGTCTCCTCAAGGTCATCTTTCCAGGTAGATTCAGAACCTGGACTTGCACTCCTGCCTTCTGATTCCCAACCTGGGGTTCCTCTCACCACAAAATGATGAATACTGCAGCATTGACTCTATGGGTCATTCACTTTAATGACAGCAGAGAGTCCTCAGTGTCACGGGGGATAAAAATAGGTGTTTAGATGTGAGGGCAAGGAGGTTCTTGGTCACAAACAAACTGAGCTCGCCAAAACATTCTCCTTGTGGGCAGGCTAGATTGCCATGGCATTTAGAAAAGCCTTGGCAAGCCTGCCACGGGCAGCCTCTCTGACTCGCCGAGGCCAGCTTTCCTTGGGGAGCTGCCTCTAGCCCTGGTGCCAGATGCAGGCCCTGCCTTAGAGGACACAGAGTGGGGGACGTCTCTGAGGGATGGGAACCACCGACCAAGAGCACGTTCCTGGTGAGGGGGCTGAAGTGTGTGTCCCACAGCAGCAAACTTGCTGTGGGTTGGACACACATAAGGAAAAAGGGCCTGGTGAGCCCTGGGTCCCTATGCCGCCGATGTTTTTCTGAGTGACTGGGGAAGCAGAGCGTGAGTAAAAATAGCCATGCCGTAGGAAAAATTCTGTTTCCGTTCATGTAAAAATAATTTGTGATCCATGCACCTCCCAAGAATATTTAACATGGATTATAATTTACCCCACTTGTGTAGGTGTGGTTAAAATAAAGATAAATGGGAAATAGGAAAACATTCAGAGAAAGCAAGGTGGTCACATGTGGCTGCTTGATGCTCCCTATTCCCCAGAGAAATGCAACCCCTTCATGTTCATAAGGGAGACAAAAATATTTTCATTAAGATGCACCACTAGTATTGTGTGTTGTAGTCTTTTGAATACTTCTCCCATTTGTAAATATCGGGCTGAGGGGAAATGCTTTACATTATAGCAGAAGGGAGCTTGGAAAGATGGAAATTCATCCCACATGAGGGAAACCTATCAAACCAGCGTGGTCCTTGGTCTTTTGAAATCATAGACTCCTTTGAGAATCTCATAAATCCCATGCATTCTTATCTCAGAAAAACACAAGCTTTTACAAACTTCACTTATCATTGTAGGTGACTTATAAACCCCCACAGTCGATTCATTGACTTTAGGTTAATAACCTCATTACTTAAATAGTTAGAAATTAATATTTTATGAAATAATTTTTCTCTGTAAAAAATTTGCCCCATTCCTTTGAGATGATTATAGTTAAAATAGTCTGTAAAATGGTGTATAGTCAGTATCATTAAAATGGTGTAGAGCCAGTATGACACAGAATGTTCTGATTTCCATGAAACTTTCTAGCCTATAACATTTGTATTCTAAGTACATATTCATCGCACATTTACTTATAATTTGCCTTAGTCTTTTATTTTTTCAAAGATACTATATAGTGGTGTACTTCATTGTAATTTGTAACTGATAACACTTGTGTAGTACTTGGTATATAAGGAAAATCTACCTTCATTGGTAAATCAGTTTTGATTTACCATATGTAAAATATGGTATATAATTAAGTTGGGCTCGGTGGCTCAGCCTGTAATCCTAGTACTTTGGGAGGCCGAGGTGAGTGGATTGCTTGAGCCTGAGGGTTCAAGACCTGCCTGGGCAACTTGGCGAGACCTCATCTCTACAATAAGTAAAAAAAAAAAATCAGCCGGGCATGGTAGCGCATGCCTGTAATTCCGGCTACTTGGAAGGCTGAGGTAGAAGGGTCGCCAGAGCCCAGTGGGTCGAGGCTGCGGTGGCCGGGAGCGGCCATTGCACTCCAGTCTAGGTGATGGAGTGAAACTCCAACTCAAAAAAAAAAAATAGTACTTTAATATATATAATCACTCATATAACATCAATAAGATCTCATCCTCCACACTTGTGAATTCTTGGAAAAAAATTACTTCCACATGTTCCTACAACTATTTAAGATTTTGACTGGTTGGTGGTCCATTGACTCTAAAGATCTGACCTGTCAAAATGCCATCTTTAAACTCCAGCGATGCATAGAGGCTTGGAATTAGCCAGGGTTGAATTTATTACAGAACAAAGAGAGGTGATGATTAACACACTGATCTGAGCAGTAGGGGGGAAATAATCCTCGAATGGATTAGATGCCATGATCCTAAAACCACATTCTCTGAGTGTTGGGTCCTTGCCCGGGAATGGGGAGAGGCCAAACATTGATGCCTTTTAAATGACAGGGTGTCTCCATGGGACTCTGGTCAGAGACACTGGGGCAGAAAGTTGGGAGTCGACTGGGAAAAAGCCTTCTTTTTCTCCTGTGAGTCATCAGATTGAGAACCTAGACCCACTCTGTGTACAGCAGTCCTCAAAACTGGCAGCTCACCCGATTCATGTTACACAATTATCAGTCTACCTATCTGGGTAGAGATTAACATTGGAGTGTAGATAGGTGGGCTGAGTTTTTTAACCACTAGCCAGAATTAACTTGTAATTTTGGGGATCTCTAGTAGGCTACTTTCAAGACTGGCATAAATGGTGCCAAGAGGATGAAGTGAATTATTATACACTGTTCTACTAAACTGAGACATAAATAGGTTCTCTATATTCACTGGCAGTATGTGGTGGGTTCTGAGCATGCTGGGACATATTTCCAGGAAAATTTACCTTTGTAAGAATAGTCCACCAACAGCGTACAAAACTCATTTTCTGATTTTCCCCATGAGTCTACCTTTACCTTGCCATCTATTATAAGCTTTATAAAAGAATGGATTTAGCCAGGCTTGGTGGCTCAGCCTGTAATCCCAGCACTTTGGGAGTTTGAGGTGAGTGGATTCCCTGAGCCCGTGGGTTTGAGACCCACCTGGGCAACTTGGCGAGACCTCATCTCTACAATAAATCAAAAATTAGCCGGGCGTGGCAGTGCGTGCCTGTAGTTCTGGCTACTTGGAAGGCTGAGACGGAAGGATCGCCGGAGCCCAGCAGGTCGGATCTGCGGTGGCTGGGAGCGGCCACTGCACTCCAGTCTGGGCGACAGAGTGAGACTCCGACTCGAAAACAAAAGAATGGATTTTCCAACGAGCATTATGCAATAGCACTGACAGACACTGACTCTCAGAGAAGAGCCCTCCAACAGAAGGGCACCGTCCTGAGAGGGAAACAGACCGTCAGAGAAAAGTCATTTTGACCCCCATTCCCTGGGCGTAGGAGAGCTTGCATCGCAAGTCCAGGTGCTCAGGAAATCTCCTGTCACTCTGAGATGGGCTGGAACATGGTGCTGTGTCCAAGCTTCTAAATACAGTTCAGGCTGGGTCATCATGACAGATGCTGAACTGGCACTACTGCGGGAATTGAAGTGGGAACTCTGATAGTGTTGAGATGCCACGCCAAAGTCTTCCCAGGCCGGGACAGGGAGAGGCAGTGTACAGTCCTCTGGGGAGGAGGGAAGGAGCCACTTTGGCAAGGAAATCCTGCTGCCTCGGTGACTCTGCCACTCCTTCTGAAGGCAACAGACACCCCACAGCATGCCAGCTCTTTTAGAAGCTGCCGGTTTCTGAGTTGCTGACACACTTGAAGGACACTGTCTCTTAAAGGGTCATTCTGGCCCTTCCAGGTAGGTAGGGCTGGGGAAAAACCGAGGCATGCCATCGCCAAGGTGTTGGCTGAGGAGCAAGTGGAATTAAGTGACCTGGTCAGGATGACTCAAGGGGTCAGGAATGGAGTTAAGAATAACATGTTGACTTTGGGATTCCCGAGTCAGCCTTCTACACAGAAGACACTGTAAGGCAATTCCTTACCTCACCCTGCCCTCTTCTTTTTGGGCGTTGCCAAAATCCACCCCGGGGACAGCATCCTTTGGTGACTCGTTCTCAAAGTTTTGGGGGGATCAGAAACAGGAGAGACTTGGGAGATGGGCTTTTCCTGGAGGGGCAGGGGACTTGGAATGTGAGAGTGGGAATCTAGGTTTTGCAAGCGTCTTTTTTTTTCAGATGGTCATAACAAACTCTGACATATTTTTGTCATATCACAGACCAGCATTTCTTAATCACACCTCTTGCAGATTTTTTCAGAGTTCTCTGAATAAGGGTTTCATGGTCAAACAAGTTTTGTACACTTTTTTAGAATGTCACACTACATGACAGCATGCTGCAGCTCTGAGAAATTTAGCAGCAGAGAAACATTCAGTCTTGTTTAATTGGGTTTCTTATTTGAGTATGGATTACTTTTTTTTTCTTCACATGATACCATCCTATTTCACAAAATAGTTTTACTATGGATACTGATTTGAGTTGGGGCATATGCCTTATAGATTATCTAATCTTATTGCTTCTTCAAATGCAAAAATATGTGGAACTTAAATCTGGTAGACGTCAGGAGTTCCCTTTGGCATTTTTTTTCTTTTGAGTTGGAGTCTCACTCTGTCAGCCCAGTTGGAATACAGTGGCACCATCGAGACTCAACACAGCCTCAACCTCTTGGGCTCAGGTAATCCTTCTACCTCAGTTTCCTGAATAGCTGGGACTACTGGAGCGTGCCACCATACCTGGATAATTTTTAAAATTTTTTGTCGAGATGAGGTCTCGCTAGGTTACCCAAGCTGATCTCGATCTCCTGAGCTCAGGCAATCATCCTGCCTTGGCCTCCTAAAATGCTGGGATTATAGGCATGCACCACTGTCCCTGGCCTAGCACCTATTTTTTGATATAACAAGATAACTTGGAGGTTCTGTTGCTGCTAAGTGACAAAGACATTTGGGAGATTAACAGCTTGGCCAAGGCTCTCCATAAATACCTTTATTGAAGAATATAATGATACTTACAAAACCTAGAGAATGACAGTGATGTATCTACCTTTTTCTGGCCAACTCATAAAAGTTAGTGCTGGAAAAGAGTCTTATTGAAAATAACCGGGAACTAATGATAGGGAGAAGCACCATAATTGTTTCTGGTGGTGTGACAGAACCTTTACAAACAGCTATGGCTTGAAGCTAAAACTGCATCTTGTATGTTAGCAATCCAAAAAAGGAAAAGCTAGTCTGCAAGCATCTTAAGACAGGGTCAGTGAGTTGTAAATATAAAGTTGCTACTATTAATACACACTTAATCTGATGTATTTCTTTCACTCTTGATGCTTGTCCTGTACCCCCAAAGTGGACTCCTTTCTGCTGTCAAAGCATTTGATGGTAGGGCTTCTGAAGGTGGTGTGGGATGGTGGATGTTTTCAAGTTTTGGTGTGAGAAAGACACGGGTCCGTTCCTCATCTCTCATACTTCTGGGTGGGTGGCACAGGGCATGCTCCCTTGTCTAAGTCTCAGTGTCCACTCTTGCACAGTAGAGTTAAAATGCCAACCTCTCAGGTCTCCCACTCGTGTCCCTGGGAGCCTCACCTCGACACTAGATCTTTCCGCCTCCCATGTTTGTTTTCCTGATCTTGAGCTAGAGGGTGAATGCTCCGGGCAAGGCTGTCGGTCTGGAGTCAGGACTCTCTGCAGCCTCGCTGCTCTATCCAAGTCTACCTGCCGCCCACGGGGCATTGCTGT